GGTTCCTTATGTGTGACGAGAGCAATGCAACACGAGTTGTCCCACAACTGGGGAATTAAGTGAGAGCGTGATCTCTAAACTTGATTGATGTATTATTTCTAACTACGTTTTTTCATCTTTTTGAGTGTTGATCACCCCTTGTCCTTTTATTCCCTTTTGTTACTGTAGAGCCACCGTTCTATATGATCAACCTCCTGAATTCTTCCGGCCTGCTTCACTCGTGGAGAAGCATGATGTGAGTAATATTAAATGCCATTGTATCATATTAGCTTATCAAATCAGTGGGCTAACTCGAATTCTAAAGTCAATGATGTTATAGTTGTTTTGCAGGATTAGTAAAAATATTAACGAGGTCGTCGGTTCACGTGATTGCGTAAGCAATGGTAAAGAGAGGAATAGACTTCTCTTCCCATAATTTTTATTATTATTTTCCTTTGTTTTTTATTTCAAGAATGTTTATGTTAAATTGGTGTAAGATGCTTATGCGTGGTGGGTTGTCTGCAGCAAATAACAAAGATCCCAATTCAACTCCATTTACGACTAAGGTTGGCAGTGACATATTACTGAAGCAAAACAGACCAGCTCTCGTTGTCAGCAGTACAAGCTGGTATATTTTGATTGATAGCCGCCTGAGTTTTCTTGAAACAATCTTGTATCCTTGTTGTACCCTTCCTGTTATTTTATAATTTGGAAAAAAAAAATAGTTGTTTTTCAACGATGAGAATTATTAAATCAAAACTATTTTGCCACACCCCTTTTACCAGACATTTACGGCATGTATATGAATGAATAATACTTGTATGTATTTAAATTGACATGAATGGGTAGAAAATAATATTTTATGCAGGACGGCCGATGAAGATTTTGAGATTCTTCTGGAAGCAGCTGTTAAGTATGATAGGCGAGTTGCTGCACGTCTTGGCGAGGATGACTCAATTGGGGACGAAGTTGTTTGGGACGATATGCATAATGGAAAGCTATGCCCGTACCCAAGGTTACTGTTCATTATTACTGGTAATGCCAATGCATATTCAAACTTCATTCGATTGATCCAGCATTTGTTATGCATCCTAAGAGGCTAAGACCCACGAACATCTTTATAGGAAAAGGACCTGAGAAGAAGAAATACGAGGAGACGTTAAAAAAACTTAGGCTGAGACGTGTTGCGTTTCGCACCATGTGGTTGTCTGCGGAGGATTATCCCTTGCTTCTTGGTAGGTAGTTAATTACTAATATGCCCTTTAGTTTAAGTCTATTACCAAAAAGAGGAAAAAATAACACCTTTCCAAGTTATGTATTACTGTTTGTCTGTTTTCTTTCTTTATTTCAAATCATAAGTTGGACCAAACCTGAAGACTAGCATTCACATTTATGCATGGTATTTATTATTCTTTTACATCGAAATACAATCATGGCTTCCTTTACTATGCATATACAGGTTCAGCAGACCTGGGCGTGTGCCTGCATACTTCGTCATCAGGGTTGGATTTACCCATGAAGGTTAGCATTAATATGTTATATAAAGTTCAATCCTCCTACAAATGCATAAAACTAATTGCACTTTACTACACATTCCTCCATATGATTGTCTCTTTGTCCCATAATGTTTTGTTTGGCACACATTTTGAGGAAAAATCCTCATCTTTGGAGGTTTTGATTGATTAGGTAGTTGATATGTTTGGCTGTGGACTACCTGTCTGTGCTGTTTCATATTCTTGGTAAGGTTGATTTAGTATTTTCCTTCTTTGGCCACGTTACTAGCTATTATAATAGACGATATTATTTGAAAAGGAAAATAAAATGACGAGCATAAATTTGCACTAACCATTTCGTTTGCGTGTCAAAGCATAAAGGAGCTGGTAAACGTTGAAAAAAATGGGCTCCTATTCTCTTCGTCTGCGGAATTGGCTGAAGAACTTATGGTAAGCTCTCAAGATTGTGGACCACTGTACATAGAACTTTTAAGAGCATTTCATCGTATTTACTTCGTTCGTGATGCACTCTAACAGATAGTAGGAGTTGATAGAGACTTTCTTGTTTAACTTGATGTCCTTTTCATTGGTACAAGTAACTACAGAGCATGTAAACATGCATTTAAATAAGAAAATATTGGATCGTATCTATTATTTTGATTATTACTTTCGGGAAATTGCTTGATTTTTTATGCCTTTTTTCTTGCAGATGTTGTTCGAGGGTTTTCCAGAAAAATGTGATGCGTTGGGGTTGATGAGGTCGAACTTGATGGAAATGGTATCTTCTGTTAGGTGGGCAACGACATGGGAAGAAAATGCCAAACCATTAATATATGAGGTCAAAAATTGGAAAATCCTTTTCTACCCCTTGCCCTGCTATCAAAACAAATATAGTTAGCTTGTGGCCGTTATTTTATCCATTTTGCCGGCTGATTGTCATGAGAGCATTGCTTTTGCAGGTTATATCTCAATACTCCAGCTGAATGTGCAGGACTGTCTAAATAAAAAAAAATAAAAATGAAAGTGAATTACTGGTAAACACATTCGTTTTCTTTTGTCTTTTTAATTGTTTATTTCGTCCAAATGTTTGGATAAAGTTGACATTCGGTATGGTCTAGTTGTGTACAAATTACTTATCTAAGGTTAATAGCCTTATGGGAGAAATCTCAAGTTATCTTTCAAATGTAGCATTGGTTTATCTTTTGCTGATTGTACCCTCGAAAAGGGTGGGTATTTGATAGGCACACTGACCTGACGGTGGTTTTTGGTGGTCGTAATATCTCAAGATAACTGAGGTTTCTGTAATTAGGCTAATCCGCAGAGGCTTTTTTGTAATTACAACTCTTCGTATTAGTTTTCGTGAACTCTGAATTTGATTTGGGTTTGTCTACCTGGCAGGAGTCCGGTGATGTTCGTGCAAAAGTATTCACAATCGCAGTTTGCTATAAGAAGTGAAAAGACTTTGTGCTCTTCCTTTCTGTTGACTTGGCCTCTTTAAACTTTCCAACTTGAATTTGCTCAAATGTACTATTTTCTATTTCTGTATGTACTGTGCACTTAACAACACATCCTTGTATGCTATAAGGATCTATTTGATGAATAGACTAATGCTGCATGTAGCATATAGTATCGAAAAATGCTCGTTCCGTTTTTCGTGCTCTTTACAAGGTCCAAGATCTCTCATGGTTTGAGAAATTTTAGAAGTTATAAGGGACTGTCTTTGATAGGTTCGATTCTATCAGTGAGTGTAGTGAGTAGTGAGTGTGATGATTCAACGGTTAAAAATCACTTACCCGAAATGTTACATTATATGTGGGACAATAATTTTTAGTATGGGAACTTAGCCAACAGCCAAAACTATATGGGTCTGTTTTTTTTACATAAGAAGGCTTTTGTGACATTTTACTTGGAAAATTTTTTTCACGACATGAAGAGTTCTACAAAAATCTAATAATTTCTCTAGCTCATTAAATAGTAAGTCTTATGATATGCTTAATCACAATATAAATATATATATATATATATATTTGTTCTCTTTTAATCAGATTGATTAGCAACTAATTTTTGTGGAGCTGTCTGATTATCAAGCGACATTGTCTGAATGTTGAATAGAAAATTATGTTTAAAAGTGTTAAATAGAAATGATATGTTATTAAACTAAGATTGTTTTAGTGACAAAATCAATTCATAAGATAATAATGCTTTTATTTCCACGAATGATATAATAATTCAAATTTCAAACCTAACAAATTATAGATAATTTTTATACCCTGATAATTTATATATATATATATATATATATA